AAAACTCATGGATAGATCTCATCAGATCCCATGGACTTGTGCATCTTCAGGTTATTTAGATGGTCTTGAACCTGATCTTCACTTACAGCAGGCAGATATTCCTTTTTGTCCTAATTATTGTAGGGATTCTCCTTCATGATCTTTTTAACTTTCCTGTCCTGTTGACTTAATTCCTGGACTTCTCAATGAACTCTTTATAATGCATACAAGTTCATAACAAAAATATCTTGTTGGATGTTAATGTGACTCTAAGATGCCTTTTCATACCTGCTTTCTACTGATTGTTTTAAAATTGAGCTGTGCACTCTCCTAACTGCTTTCTAAATCTGCAGATTACAGTGACAGCATTAGTAATTAGTGTCTGAAGTGACTGGTTTAGGTGTGGAAAAAACACTTGAATATGAAGACTTCAGTTTGTCCTGTGGTATAATGTTTTCTGAAAAGCAAATAGCTGCAACTAACTAACTGTGGTCTAATTTGAAAGAACCTTCCATTATATACATTTTTGAACCCTATTCTTTACCGAGGTCATAAGGCTAATGCATTGCAGTGAATAAGGACTGGAGTGTCTGCTGCATTTTCTCAGAATTCGTAGCTGTTGCGCACAATTTGGAGTTTGAACTTTCCCTGACAGCTTTCCAGTTAATTGTTTCATTTTCTTTTCTTCACGTCTTGTCACTTACGAGCTTTATTAGTTAGATAGCAATACATGTGCCTGCAGGAAGATTCTTTTATTTGGTGTGAGCAGTTTAACAGTGAGGGCATATTAGAAAATGTCATCTAAGTGTAAATGAAAGCATTCTCATATGAAAGATTAAGAAAAGATTACATTGCAGCTGTATTTATTCTGCTAGGAAAGCTGTTCTTTGCTTTCAAATTTGTTTAATATTTGTCCATTAAAATAACTACTTAATGAGTACTGGTTACGGATTTTAGATATTTTTATAGCTATTTAACTTGTCTTCCTACAGTGTTCTGGGTCACAAGTTGAAAGGAAAATCTGCAGAGTATATGCTAAGGCAGCTGAAAGCAAAACTGTAGTAGGAATAACATTATAAAGTCTGAAATATGACATTTTCTACTTTAAGTGATACGAATTTTTCCTTAATTCTGCCTCAGAATAGCTTTTTTTCTTTCTGGCAATTTTTTATAGAAAAATATCCTTTTCTGTGATAGCACTTGTTGGATGGCAGCCAGTCAAATTGGGGAGGCTTTTCCACTCGCCTTCCTCCGTTTCCTGAAAACTGCTGCTCTCTGTTTCAGAATCAGAGTAGAAATGCATGTGTCTTGATTTTTAAATGTTAAATGGAAACACATAACCTTTTTTTTGTTTGTTTGTTTTGTTTTTCTGCTCAACTGAGATTGAACATCAAGAAATTATTTGGATGTTTTGAACCTCTGGGTTTTGAGAAACTCAGTAGGGGCCATAAGGTCAGAGTATAAGGCAAGATGTACAGCAATGATGTGAAAAGTTTCAAGGTAAGAAAACTGATGTGCAAGTCACAGAATAACAGTGTTTGTAGATTATCCACCTGTGGAGATGATCACAGCCTAACTGAGCACAGTGTCATAGAATGTTTGGGGCTGGAATTGACCTTGAAAGGTTATCTCACTCCACCCCACGCTGCCATGGGTAGGGGTACCTTTGCTTGATCAGCATGGACCTGGGCAATCTGCTGTAGCTGGCCTAGCTTGAGCAGCTAATTTTTCAGTGAATGGCAAGTGGTAGGTTAAACATGGCTAACAGACTGACAGTGTGCTCTGTAATGGGCCATATCTACTGATCTGTACCAAGCAGGTGTGACCCTGCTTCTTGGATGCCTTGGAAACAATTTTTCATGTTTCAAACAAGATTTCTCTGCAGGTCCTGTATAAAATCAGCTTTCAGAAAGAGTTGGATCGGCCAACTGTTGGAAGGCCAACAGGTATCCCGGGCTACGTTGAAAGAGTGGTGGCCAGCAGGGCAAGGGAGGTGATTGTCCTCCTATACTTTGCCCTCATGAGGACCTACCTGCAATACTGCATCCAGGCCTTGGGCCCCCAGCACAGGAATGATGTGTAGCTGTTGGAGCAAGTCCAGAGGAGGGCTAGAAGATGACTGAAGCACTTCTCCTGTGAAGAAAGGCTGAGGGAGCTGGGCTTGTTCAGCTTGGAGGAGATGAAACTCTGGGGAGACCTCATTGTGGCCTTCCAGTACTTGAGGGGAACTTACAAGCAGGAGGGGATCGGTTTTTTATGCAGTCTGATAGTGATAGCACCAGGGGGAATGGCTTAAACTAAAAGAGAGATTTTGATTAGATGTCAGGGGGAAATTTTTTACTCAGAGGGTAGTAAGGACTGGCAGCTGTGGGTACCCCATCCCTGGAGGCACTCAGGGCTGGGTTGGAGGGGGCCTGGGCCAGCCAGCCCACTCTAGGGGTTGGGGCTGGTGGGCTTTAGGGTCTCTTCCAACCCAAACCATTCTGTGGTTCTAGGATTCTATGTAGTGTTACAACACTATGACACTTGGTTTTTTTTGTGTGTGTGTTGTTTGAGGCTGCATATCTATGAAAATGCCCCTCAGCTGGTCAGCTTGAGGAAGCATCCCAGTTTTTGATGCATGGTATTTTTTTCTAACTGGTTGTGTGATGCACCCCTGTCACTGAGGTACTGTTATGCCATCAGCTAACATAACCTTTAGGTGGAAAAATCACAACATGAAGAGAATTTTGTTGTAATCACTTTGACCTTAAACAAGATGTGCAATGAGAGGGAAAAAAAAGTAGCCTTTCTGTAGGGCATGTTTTGGTTTTGGTTGTGCACGTCTTTCTAACTACGTACCAGTAAAATCCATGTACAGACCATCCCAACATAACCTCTTAAAGTAGCACCACTGAATGATTATCTAATTCAGAGGTAGCCTTGTTGGGAATACGTGTTGAGGCTGAGGGAGCTGGGTTTGTTAAGCCTGGAGAAAAGAAGGGTGCAGGGTGACCTAATTGTATTTTCAGTTTTTCAGTACTTAAAGGGAGCCTACAAACAGGAAGGGAATCAACTCTTTGAAAAGGTAGATAACAGCAGGACAAGGTGAAATGGTTTTAAGTTGAGGGAGGGAAGATTTAGGTTAGATATCAGGGAGAAGTTCTTTACAGAGAGAGTGGTGAGGTGCTGGAACAGGCTGCTCAGACAGGTTGAGGGTGCTCCGTCCCTGGAGGTGTTCAAGGCCAGGTTGGATGGGGCCCTGGGCAGCCTGGTCTAGTATTAAATGTGGAGGTTGGTGGCTCTGCATGTGGCAGGGGGGTTGGAGATTCATGATCCTTGAGGTCCCTTTCAACACTGGCCATTCTGTGGTTCTGTGTTATTTCTTAAAACTTTTAATGTCATCCATGTTTGCACGCCATGGGGAAAGTGAGTGATCGACTTCCAGTAGCCTCCAAGAAAGAAGTATAAGGTTGGATTTTTTTTGGTCCCTCAAAAGAGAGAAACACAATATTTTTCTTCCTTGTACATATACATGTTGCAAGACCCAGTTCTGTTTCCATACCCACAAGCTGCTTGTTGGAGGAACGTGGTCTCCCATGTCATTCCTATTGCTCTGAATTCAACCCCTTCTTGATGGTGTGTTAGAGGCATTGTGGCCTTTTAGCAAGGATTGCTCAGAGTAGAGGAGAACAAAATATGAATGGTATCTAAAAACCCCAATCATACAAAAAGTGATACCCTCCAGAGATACCAGATGTCCCTGGTAAATGAACTGTGGGACTTAGTGATTGCTGGAAGCATGTTTAGGCTGTGCTAGGGGACTGCTTGGAGCTCATTCTGCTGCCCAGCCTTTCCTAGCTCTCTGTGGCTGGTCTGTGGCTGATGGCTTCGTTCTGAGAAAGCAAATGTACTCCTCCACTTTCCTGTAAAGGCCTTTCTCTTGTTTGTGTGCTGTCTCCATCACTTTAATCGTAATTAGTTGAAACACTACTGTGAAAGACACAAGGGGAATATCCCTAATGGTGCAATGTGTTAGAAAATACACTTCTGTATTACAAAGGGCTGTTTGGATGCTCTTCTCCTTGGTGTCTTCTACTGCAATTTGGAAAAAAGATTAAATACATTTTTAATTTCTTTTTTCTTTGGTGACACTTCTCTGTGTTTTTGTGTTGTGTGTGGATTGCTCTGTCAGTTGCAGGAGGCACTGGTGTGTCCCAGGAGCTTTGCCTCAGGAACCAGGCTCTTGTGCAGAGAAGTTGTTGCAAACATGCACTGTAATAAAATATCTTCACAGCACCAGAATATCTTATTAACCAATCTGTATTCCTCACTGGGGCTCTGGGAGGCCCCAGCAGCTCTGTCAGCTCGCCTTCAGGGGGAAGGATGGGCTGGAGGAGGCAGTTGCTCAGCTTCAGCAGCAATGTGGATTTGTGCATGCTGTGCTAGTGGGTTTTTCTTTTTCTTTTTTTTTTTTTTTACAAAGATTTAAAAAAATATCATTGCAGGATGTCATGTTGGTTCTTCTAATGAAATAGGGAAACAAATTTCTGTGGATTCTGTGGAAGTGACTGTGGATTTCTAGGTGGATGTGGACCACTGAAACATGAGCTGTGCCCTTCTCTGCTCTTTATATATCATTGAACTTATGCTCTTCGGCTTGTGGTTGTATGCACATGGTAGTCTTCCCTTGGGCATGTCTCTTGTACAAGTGGCTCATCTAGAGCCAGGGCTCGATTCATACGAGATACTACTGGTATTAAGAGAGAATAAAAGGTGGCTGTGCTTTAGCCTCAGTTTTTGCCTACTGATGGTATTAGAGCTTCTAGTGCATTATGGGGTAGTTTTAAACTCCAGAGAAGTCAAGAAAGAATTAATTCTACATAACAATAATAAAATTATATAATACTAGTAGTAATAATAACAATGATGCTTAGCTTTGTGTTTTCTTCAAGGTGAAAATCATGCCATAGCTCTATAAAAATAAAAAGAATGTAGTATCTCTTTCAGTTTCCTAAATGTAATTTAATTTATTCTTGTAGGTGTAGCATCTATGACAGTGCCTGTGTACATCGCAGAAGTTGCTCCGCCGCACTTAAGAGGCAGATTAGTCACCATTAACACCCTGTTCATCACTGGAGGGCAGTTTTTTGCAAGCGTCGTGGATGGACTGTTCAGCTACCTCGTGAAGGATGGATGGAGGTATGTGAGCCTTCAGTGCTAAAAGCAAAACGTGGCTATGGTTTGAGCAAGGCTAGATACATGTGTGAAATAACTTTTAGTGGCTGACAGCTATCGCCATAGAGTTTACGTATAAAATGGTAGATCTGCATTCTGAAGTGAAGTTTTAATAATTAACTCTTGCCAAATGATATACATAAAGCTTTCACTCAGTACTCACAGAATGTTTTCGTTTTCTGATTTCACTAAACTTTAAAATGGATGAGCAATGCATTGCATATGATGCATATGCATCAACAAGCTTGAACTATCATCATGATGTTTATAAAAATACCTTTTGCCTTTTGCATTTAGAATAATTACATGCTGATTTTTCAAAAGGCGCATTTCCCGTAACTGATACTACATGCACAGAATAGAGGTGTATATTGAATGCATTTAATTTGAGCAGTAGTAATCTAATCAGAACTGAAGTTACAGGTATTGTAGTATAACTTTTAACTATAAACTTTTGATTATATGGAATTTATGAATCTCTTTTACTCTACTTTCTGAATATTTTGCTCTTTCTGTAGACTTTGCTAAGAGTTTATGGTCTGCACCTACCTTCTTTGTGGTGATGTGTCATTTGAGAGAGTTCAGATGTTTCTGGAGCTCAGCAATTTAGTTGCAGTGCTGATGTGAAAAAATTATTAACAGAAATGTGTAGGAGGAGTAACTTATACCGCACGTTCCAGCTTTTGGAAACTTGTGCTTATTACGTTTGTTTTTTTATCGAAACTCTTGTGGGAAAAGGGTGTGTGCTGTTGTAGGGTCTTCAATTTCTGTTGCTACAGCCTGGAACCTTTTTGATATTTGAAAATCCTAATATGAAATATTTTCGCTCCCTATCTCCTCCAAAAAGTTTGCAATATAAATATTATTACATTCACTGACTTCCAATGGAATTGAGTAAGGATAAGTTTTAAGCTAGTAACAATTCATATGGAACATATGTAGAGGTATTTAGAGGCTGATCTTTCTTTAATATGTAAAAAAATATGCATTAAAATAAGAAGTTAATGTTTTAAAGGTGAATCTACAGTTTATTCTATATATATGTCTGAAGGTCCAAGAACGTTGAGGATTTTACTTTCTGCTGAAGTGATCGCTTCCTTTGCCTCTTAGGTAAAAAGATGTCACATTCTGACCTTAAGAAAAAAAATGACATCATGCTGATTTTATTTAATACAGTCAATCCTAGCTCTGCTTTTTGCTTTCTAGCCTAAATGGAAATAGCATTTCACATTTTCACATTTTCATGAATCTTTTGATATCCTAGTCATTGCAAAAGCAGCTGCATGCTCCCTCAGGCTGTGCCTCCAGTTATAGAGGACAGAGAAATGACTTCGCTGAAAAAAAAATTTAGGGGATTGCTAATCCCTTTCTGCAGTTAATGAAATATGTTCAATTTTTAGAAAAGGTAATGGTATGCAGTAATGCCTGGCTAGGTAAAATAAATGGAAGTATTTGACAACCAATACAGATTATCCAGTAGCTACGTTATTAATTTAAATTGACTATTAGCCTAAGTAATTTGCTAATGTAAAAGCTCCTTATGCATGGGGCTGGGTGGTGAGGAATGGACAGCAAAGGTATTTATTTAGAAATGGAGCTCTGAGTCACCATTAGTGTTTCAGGTGTTTGTGCACTTTCTTTTTAGGCAGATATTTTGATTTCAGTTTACTTTAGAGGTTAGAGATTCTGCTGGGAAAAGCATTTGTGGATATAAATATGTTTGGGTTTTTTGGTTCTTTTTTTGTTGTTGTTTTCTTTTTGTGTCAGTGGGCTGATGCTTACAAGCTAAGGATGTGTTTGTAATCTCTACGTAAATACTACCATATAGGAAGAAAAATATTGCTAATAAAATATCCAACAAGCCTTGATCTTATTTGAGCTGTATTTTTGTGTAATTGTTCAGATAAATACAAATCATGAGCCAGCAATGCACCCTCGCAGCCCAGAAAGCCAACTGTATCCTGGGCTGCACGAAAAGCAGCATGGCCAGCAGGGTGAGGGAGGTGATTCTGCCCCTCTGACCACAATGATCATCCAGTTTCAACCCCCTGCTATGTGCAGGTCACCAACCACCAGACCAGGCTGCCCAGAGCCACATCCAGCCTGGCCTTGAATGCTTCCAGGGATGGGGCATCCACAACCTCCTTGGGCAGCCTGTTCCAGTGCGTCACCACCCTCTGTGTGGAAAAACGTCCTCCTAATATCTAACCTAAATCTCCCCTGTCTCAGTTTAAGACCGTTTCCCCTTGTCCTGTCACTATCCACCGTAGCAAACAGTCATTAACACAATGTGTGAGTATAACACAATGTGTGTAAAAGATCCTTTGAACCATATTTTGCTCCCTTACAGTCTATCTGGCCAGTGATGCCAATGAAGACCATAGTCCTTCTCATTGTGATGCTCCTCACTCTTGTTGTTCTGTACTGGTTTCTTCCACGTGTGTGTCTGTCCATGGCTGTTCAATGCCATCACATGGCCTGATCAAATTCTTGATCAAGCATTGGAACGGGCTGCTCAGGGAAGCAGTGAACTCACCGTCCCTGGAGGCTTTCAAAAAAAGGATAGATGTGGCGGTACTCAGGGATGTGGGTTAGTAGGCACGGTGGTGAGGGGCTGATGGCTGGATTAAGTCATCTTAGTGGTCTTTTCTAACCTTAATGATTCTATGACTCTGGATTTTCATGAAAAAAAGACATAGTTGCGTACAAGACCAGTGCAACAGAGAAGGAAACGTTACGATTTTCAAATTAGTAAAAATAAATTGTGGAAAACTAAGAACAGATCTGCACTTTCTGAATCATAGAAAAATTCCACTGAAAGGTAATCCGGGGTGTTGAGGCTAACGTACAGCTCCTCGAGCTGGGTTTGTATCTTAAGGTGAAGCAGGCCGAATTTGTTTATTCAGGCCTTTGTCCAGCTGACTTCTGAAAATCTTGTTAGGTAGTCATTTCCACTTCTCAGATGTGTTGGGCAGAAATAGGCTATGCTAATGCTGAGGTATCCAAGGAAGTGCTGGAGTGGTGGGTTTGGAATCGCATACTTCTCTGTCCTCAGCTCGCTGGCTGCAACCTGAGACTGAGCAGAACAGAGTACAGATGGGCCCTCCCTTGGAAAGAGTGTCCAGCATGCACCTGGGGAGAGTTCAGAGATGTTTGCTCCTGAATCACTGCATAAAAGAAGGAGAATTACAGCAATTATTGTAGCTCTCGGTGATCAAGTGACTGTGTACTAGAAAGAAAAAAAAAAAACAGGAACTTGAATTCTGTTTATTCTTGGAAATGCTGGATATTAAATTAAAAATAAGCAAAAGAAAACAAACGTTGAATCTGACAAGTTAGTTTTATACAACACTACTCATTCATTTTAATGGTGTTGCAGCAGTATGTCTCAGAAGGAGAAGTGTTACCACTGATGTATTAAATTTTCTGCTGGATTTTTTCAGGTCTGCTAGACATCTGACTTCAAAAGCAAAATCTTATTCTCTGTATAGGAAAGAACTGTATTAGATTTCTGAAAGCTGGCTCACAGCACGTAATGTCCAAAATTGCCTGCTTTTACTAAATTGGTTCTATCAAAGTTGCTTGGTCTGAAAATTGCAAGAGCTCATGAACTTAGAGTGGACGTATGCCCCTAAGTGAATATTTTCCTTCTGGCCTGCTCCTTGTACTCTGCTTTGACCAGAAACATGGCAGTTGGAAACTGCCTTTAGTGACCAAACACTTTCTTTTCTATCTTCTCTGTGATAAACAACCCAACAGTGTTCAGTGGTAGATTAACAGCCTAGATCTTGCTTTTTTTTTTTTTTCTTTTTTTTTTCTCCTCCTAAAATAATTGCAGGTATGCAGCTGCTCAGTTCTGGAAATTCTGCTGCATTTAAGGGATGGAAGGGTTTTGGAGGAATAGGCTTGGGTCATATGAGTATCAAGGACTAAATCTGTATACTTAGATGTGCTAAAAGAATCCTTTTGCTTGCAGTTTGTCAGTGCTTTTAATTTCTATGTCTTTGGGCTACTCTTCATTTGAAATAGAAGAGGCTCTCTAAATACCACACTAATCACAGATATTGAATATACTATTTGTTGAGCTTCAGCGGTGTATATATTGATGTGATTCTGTATGCAGCTTCCGAAATACTGTTTGTGGAGAAGGAGGAGCATAGGAAGAAATGAGGACACAGATGAATGAGACCATTAGTGAATGAGGAATGAGAACATTAGTGACACTTGTTAGATATGCTGGCTAAAGTCTGCTCAGCAATTAATCCTTCCACAATGTTTGCGTTCTGAATTTATTTTCTTCCTGCTTTCCTTTTTTTTTTTTTTTTTTTTTTTTTTTTTTTTTTTTGACTAAAGATGAGCTATACCATTCTGAAAATGAGAGGCTTGTTTGCAATTTTATTTCTAGACCAAGATGTAATTATATAACCTTTGGACAATATTGCCAGTTTAAGGAGGAACTTGAGAGCTCAGCTAGGGGATGGGAGGACTGGCCTGCATGCACCTTGTCCAGGGGTGGCCAACTTCTTTCCTTCACCTTTTGTATGTTGTATTTTTTTTCCATTCTCCATTTTTCTGCCCTGTTGATTGTGAGTCTTTTTCCATTTTCACTGGAAATGCATTTGGACTTGTCAAATACTTGTGGTTTGTTGCCCTGAAATGAGATTTCTATTAACAATCTTGCTCTCTTTCATACTCTATTAGCAATCTCATTGCATAGCCAACTTTATAAAAACATCCATGTGAGAGAATTCAGAACCATCAGTGAGAAAGAGTGCACAGTGAGAGAGGCTAGAGGAAAGATTTGCTCATCTCCCTGCTTTCCTGACTTCAAGGTGTGAACCTATTTATGAGCACAGAGTACCCTGATATTCAGGCTGAAGACTTTTCTGGAGGTGGTGGAACGGTTATAACCACTGATGTGAAGCCTATGTTGTTTGCAGTGATGTATGGATGATGCCAACATCATCTAAAGTCTTTAATAGAAGCCAAAATAATCTTTCAAGCACAAATGATTTATCAGATGTAGGGAAAAAAAAGTCAGATTTAAAAAGCAGAATAACATTATGTTCTATTCTGTAATTCTTGTTTTTGGTGTTTTATTGAAGGAAATAAAAATGTGGAGTGTGAGAATCAGAACCACCTATGGCAGATGGTGATAGGCTTATCTTCCACGGCCTTTGGCCTCACTTCATTTGGAGCAAGTCCTGTTGTGTGTGAGCGCTGGACAGGTGGCAATGCTGGCTGCTGGAGGGGCAGCTCTCCTGCAGCAGTAATCCTGGCATTAATGCTGTGTACAGTGAAATCCCTCTGTGCACTTAAAATGCTGTTTTGATTTAAAACAACGCTGCATCTGGCTGAACATTTAAGAGCAGACTATCTGAAAGATCTAGTGTAAATGGATGCAGTGCTGATTAAATGAACTTTTTCCAGTGTTTCTTTCTACAGTCAGAAACAGCCATTTCCTTATACAAGAGGTTTATTCCCTGGCCACGTGTGACTGCGTACATGTACTTGCTGACCAAATTAAGCAATTATGGTTGGCTGCTTTTGGTTTATCTTTTTTATTATGTCTGTAAAACAATGAGCAGGATTTCAGCCTCATCGTTGTCATCAGCAGTACCCGTCTGTTCTGTACACCTTTGCTTTTTTTTTCTGTTAATTCTTTTCTTATATCTTCACAGTAGGGGGTATCAGTTTCCAAACCACTGGAATGTTTCAGAGTGTTCACTGAGTCTGAGTTAGTGTTCTCTCGACGAGCAACTGTTGAGTCAGTGACAGCAGAATATTCAGAACATCCTGAGGTATACTGGAATAGAAAGCAAAGGTCTTTTTTCTATGGTACTTCCGGAGTAGGGTTCTTGCCTGATTAATTTCTGGCAATAATGAATACAAAGGAACAAGGTTTGGTTTGTAAATTACAGCCTCGGTTGCTGTGTGTCTTCTCACAGCATGCTCTTGTAGGCAAATACAAGAAATTTGTTTATTTCTTTATTTCCAGGTACATGTTGGGGCTGTCAGCTGTGCCAGCAGTTATACAGTTTTTTGGTTTCCTGTTTCTCCCTGAAAGCCCCCGCTGGCTGATTCAGAAAGGCCAGACTCAGAGAGCAAGGAGGATTCTGTCTCAGATGCGTGGCAACCAGGCAATCGATGAGGAGTATGACAGTATCAAAAACAACATTGAAGAAGAAGAAAAAGAAGTTGGAGCAGGTATGCTGTGAATGCTTGTTGGCATCTTTGTCAATCACTGAAGAGATGAAATGAGAATAAATTTTCACGTCATAGCCTATGGGAGCCTGATGATTTGCTGTTCTTGGTAGTTTTGCTGTTTAATATACTTCATGTACTGGTAATTTCAGAGTTGAATAGATGTTTCTGTGATACTACAGTTTTAAATTTAATTCTGGTTTCTTCAATGAGGAAGAAGTAAAGTTCTGTAAGATTACAAGTTATGCAAGCTAGAGTTACATAAGAATTGCTCAAAAAATTGCCCATTTTAAGAATGCACATCTTGAAGAGTGGAAATAAAATAGTTTGGTTTCTCTCTTCAAAGAAAAAGATCTAACAACCATTAAGGTCAGAAGGCATTTTGCATGCATGCGTTATCCAGAGTCTATATTGTGGCTGATCATAATTCCAGCTAAGCAGTTTTGGAAAGATTTACAAAATAATTTTTCAGTAAGGGCAGTTTCTGAAGCCTTCTTAGTCTGCCCAAGAGAATGCAGCATCTTAATCAAATACTTTATTATGTTTTTGTACCCTTGTTCTATAATTTCTCAAAACTTTGTGTCTACATAGGCAGGTATTATACAGCAAGATTACCATTCCATTGACTATCTTCTTGTCTACTAAATAATTTTTCTTAGATTTGTGCTGAAGTAGAATAGGAATCTTAATTAAGTCTCTAAAGTGAGATTCACCTTAGTTCTTGCTTCTTTAAATGTAGTTTGTGTGGTACTATAACTTCTCACAGGATGTGGGAAGAAAAATGCAATTTATTTTACAGCTGTACATACTGAGATCCAATGTCTGATAGTATCCAATCTCATTGCCTCCTTGAGTTTTACTTTGAAGCTTACAATAGAAGACTGGGTATCTTGAAGTTACTGCATTCAAAACGTTCAAATGTTCATCACTGATTTGTAGTAGGGCTGGATTTGTTTCTTCCATTATTTTTTCAGGCTTTTGAACACTTTTTTTTTTTTTTTCTTTAGCAGTGGAAAGAAAAGTTATTTGAGTTGATCTGACAAAAAGCTGAAGTGGGCATTTTTAGAACAGCTTGGATTTTGAGTCTTGTACCAAGGTTCTCAATCCTAATTAGTCATTGGACTGTTTGATTCCATGGAGAGCCACTTAATGTCTGGTATTAATGTTTATCTGCTTTGTAGAAATGAAAGAAGCAGGTGTTTGGCTGGTTTGGTTCCCTATTTTCAGTCATTGGGCTGTACAGCACAACCTTGTTTCTCTCTTTTAAATCATTTTTATGCTGCTGCTTTGCAGTTTATAAATTTGTTGTAGTAAGATTGTGGTAGGACTGACTCCAACCTGGTCCTTTTTGCAGCTGTATCTTAGACTGGCAGACCAGTTATGGAGCTTCCTGAGTTTCTTGATTTTTTTTTTTTTTATTTATTTATGTTTTTCCCAAAGAAAAAATAATTGTCTTGCTGGAGTTTAGTCAAGCATGTTCCCATAGAAAAGCATGCTTACATGGAAACTGGCATTTTCCTCTTGGATAATCAACAGCTTCAGAGCTGCCACCAAATGGCGCAGTGAGGGTAGTTCTGAATACCTGCTTACCCACTTGTAAATACTTACGAACAGGCATTACATACCCATGGGCACTTTTGAGTTTGATTGCAACTTAGCTGTAATTGCTCTTATCCCATTTAACTCGGACTCCTGGTTGTTCTAAAAACATTTGTTGTGTGTCAGCATCAAAATGTGCTTATTTTGTTGCTTTTCTGGGACTTATAGGTGGTTCTTAAAAGTAATGTTGAAATATAATTATCTTCATTTCTTGAGGAGTTGTCTAGATACTCAGAATTGAATGTGGAATGCATGGTACGAGGGCCAACTTCCTGTTTGTATGTGGAATTCAACCAAAGACAACTTTGCAAATCAAAAATCATCCCGCTTACTTTTAGGTAATTGTGCCATTTCCTTTTTTGGCATTTCCTTTCTTGAAAAAGAACAGGTGTTCTTCTTCATTAACTGATACATAAACATCTTTGCCAGTTCTTCAGGGCCTCATTTTCTAAGTGAGAATAAACTTATATCTGACTCTACAAGGGAGTAACAGGGTGCAGCTGGAACATATTCTCCTAGTCCCACACTAAAATCTGCTTTTTGTAACTGTTTCATCAGCTATTCTTGTCACTGAACTAATGAATCACAGGAGAACTTCATCTGTGTTACTTCAACTGCTTTTAAAAGGGTTTAATATTAACGTCTATCATAAAACCAGAGAGGTTCATTGCAGATTCCATATGGTCATCAAGCAGCTTCTATCTTGAAAGCAATAAAAATGCCTTGAGCAGCGACTTCTGTTTCAGAAGTCTCTTGTACTTGTGTGGGATACCTGTTGGGTGAATGATTCACAGCTCTTTATTCTTTCCAGTACATTCAACCAGATCACCACAGCTGAGATTTAGCATCTTCAGATTGTGACAAACACTTCCCTCTTTAGTGATTATACAGCTGACAATTTTCTAGCAGCAGTGAATACGACTTTTGCATGCTCTGTTCTGTACCCCTAAAGCAACCTGTGGTGTTGTAAAATCCATGACTGTTTTCTGCACCAGAGCTCATGTTTTGAGAACAGAGGAGGAAGGCACTGCATTTGCAGTAATGTCACAAAACCAATTAGGTCAAGTCCAGCTCAACAGCATCTCTTAACATCATCGTCTCAGATGACAGGGTTGTAGTGCAAAGAGATCTGGTGATAGGAGTATCCAGGGCAGGAGTGTTACAGGGGGAGACCTTAGAAAGGAGAGAGCTCCCTGAGATTGGGGGAAAACAGTAGTTTTTAAGTGGTATGTGCTATTCCCCTTTAAACAGGCTCTAGATTTTGCAAATTCCCCACTGCTTGGCTCATGAAGTCCTAAGGAGAGGGAAGAGGGTGGAAAACAGGTAGAAGCAGTTAGATCAAAGCATCAATGGCAGGGTTGATTCTTGCCTCCCGTTAGCTAAACATTGCTGCTGAGGTTCTGTGCTGCATGTTAGTGAAGAACTGGCAATCTGATCGTAGCGTTGCATGTAAGCACTGCTACAGTGACTTAAATATACAGGTACAGATGAAGAACCTGTGCTGCTAAGTGAATTAGAGTGGGATTTGTAATCTTCTTGAGCAGGCATTTTAGAGTGAATTTACAGTAACAGAAGAGCTACATACCTTTGTGAAAGTTTTATGGACTGCCACTGTAGTGGTAAATTCAAACCAGAAAGAAATTATGCTGCTGTTCAATAGGGAAGTTGGGGATTGATAGTTAATTTCCTAAATATTTAACAGATCTCCAGTATTCAAAGAAAAACATAGGAAACTGTGATTTTTTTTTTAAATTTCGGATGAAAGTACCTACAAGTTGCATGGCTTTCCCACATGCTCCTCTTGTACCAGTATTGAGCTATAGCATACCAGGATACCCCACATTACACACAAAATTAGTGGTGGTGAATGTTGTACTAACACAATGTCTGACAAAATAAATATAATTTGTATTAAGATTAGACATTTATGTCTGTGTAAATAAAGTATGTATAGGCATGGATCGTAATTATACCAGGAGAGCAGTGTAATCTCCCTCAGTCCCATTTATTTCATGTTTTTCTGATCTTTGAGTTACTTTTGAGACTCTTGAACCTCTACACTATGACCTGGGATAGACATTTTATAGTATGCTTCTATGCACATATATGTGTCCATTTCTGATCATGTTTTTATTTGCACGTTATGCTTTGTAATTCTGGCCATGTAAAAAGTGTGCTTGGCTTAGCACTGCATGGAATCACAATGCTTCTGTTGAAGTACACTGAGTGATATAGAAAATGCGTAATTGCACTGTAGGATAATTAAACCGGCCTTTTTGTGCCTGTTCCAGAGTGTTTTGTAATGGCTGTTGCTTCTGGATGAGGTATTTTCTTGTATTTCCAGTAATTCTTTGTTAAAAAAAGAAATAGTTAGACTAAGGGTTTTCTTTGAGAACAACCTATCCATACTATTCTTTAAATCCTGTAAGCTTCAATCACTTTCAGCTTCACTCTCTTTCTTTTTTTGCTGAATTTACCATCTGATCTGTGAGTCAGTCTATTCTTTCAGGTTTTGTATTTCCCTGCAGGAGATGAATGTGTTATGATTTAAAGGAAAAATCACCTCATTACCATTAGTTTTCAGCTTATAACTTTACCAATTAACTGTCAGTTAAAATACGATGTTGTGAGGGAAGGTAGCCTTCGCGGCTACAGTATATTTATATTTCTTGCAACTTTTCTGCTTAAGGAATATTTTAACTTGTCAGTATTTCTGCCTATGGCTTTGGCTGCAGCCATTTGACATACATCTCCCTAGGGAGATGCTGGAAGCTTTCCGTACTTTCATTATTAATCATAATCTACCCCTGCTTCTGGGAGTCCTTCTTATCCCTTGCAATTGCCTGACATGCCTGGAATTCAAAAAGATACAGACATGCTTATTATTGGACATCAGCTAGAATCTTATTTAATGCAAGTTGGTAGTACTGTTATGCTGCAGAAGGGCTGTGCAAAGCTCTGAACCATTTCAGTTGTAGGCGCTTAATCTGTGTTTAGAATGAATCCCTCTGTCATGAGATTGAGTGGCTGCTGTTACCTGTAACCCAAAAACTGGGTTAAAGCCTTTCAGGCAAAAGAAAAGAGATGCACTAAAGATTTGTCCAAGAAAACCCCAAAGTCCATATGATTGCAAGCTTGAAATTTTTATTTGTGACAATACCAATGTGAGGGACTTTGCAAAACCAAGTCAGTTTTGCTTTTGGTTTTGTGAGAGAGTACAGCCAACACATGAGGTATCTGAAGAAATGTCACTGTTCCATTCACATATTTTAACTATTTGAGCTGTAGAATTATTTCCTGTCTCTTAAGAACAAAAATTCTTCCTGTGCAGTGACATATCTTCACTGGAATTTATTTTGAATTGAAGCCATGAAAAAAGAACACCTCTGGTTAATTTAAAATGT